CCTGCCACAGTTTCTGCTGGTGCCTCAATTAAGCCCATCGTTGGACAGCAGAAATCAGAGTTACGCATTTCCAATTGCATAATAATCGTTCACTATCTTTTCGCTGTTTACCACAGTTACTGTCTGCCTGTCTGGAGATTTTCATGGCTTGCGAAAGTAAATACCTTACCAGTCCACTCTTTTTCTGCTTTATTTTTAGCTTTTTTTTTGGCTTCCTGAACAATGCGTGCAGTTATTAGTCGTTTGATTCATTAATCATGTGTGGAGAAAAGTAGAGACTGAAAAGATATTGGGGAAAAGGTATGGGAGAAACCTACAGGGTGCCTAGGAAAGGTGGAAAATTCCCCAAAAGCTTGAGATGGTTATAAATTAGGTTTACAACATGAAAATAATCATGATATAAGGCGCTTTTCTCATGGGAGTAGGACTTAAACCCCTCAATTCCACGTTGGCAACATTCGTTGAATGACCGAATTTCCTTCAAGTCACCACAGGGAGCTGAGCAACGTTTAACTACACTGTTTTTTAGCCTAGCCAACACTTTTATAACTCGAATCAAACATCAAGGAATAAAGGTTTGCTTCATAACTTCCCTTAGACCCCATGTTAGATGTAACTTTCCACTGGCTCCCATTTAATTGAATTCAGTCAATGATTTCCTCAATCATTTTCACAGTGAGATCTGTACCTTTGCTAGTTTTACTCTTAGATTAGTGTTTCATTCCCCTTCTTTGTGTGAGGCCCCAACTGGTTCGTTGGCTTAACGTTTTTAATTAACTTAAATCAATGACAGCTTACAGCGGCCAGAGAAACGTTTGCGAAATGGCCAGACCTAGGGACTGGGACAACTGCGATGGTGCTTGACCATTGTTGCCGACAATGACGGAGGCAGAGGCAGAGAAGGAGAGCGAGGCAACGCGAAAGCCGCAAAGATACCTCAGACGTCGTCCGGGCCGTGACTTTTAAGTGTCTATCCCCCCAGCGCCCAGGGCGGATGGACAGCTGCTGCTTGGACAATTGCAGCAAATCACAGTCCGACACTCGAGGTATTTGTGTTCACTCGATTTCCGCTGGAAAGTGGCGGGGCAATCGAGAGAGTGGCCAAGAGGAGGGCGGGTCCATCCACAGAGATCTAATACCAGCAGCAGAAAAATTGCTGGCTCGATTTTAATTACGGCCAACTACTGACCGACCGAAGCATTGAACCTGCCCCAGCCGTAATTTGAGCCTCAAACAGAAAGCCAATGTAATCCAAGATTGCTGTGAGAAATGCCAGAAAGGCCACTCTCCACCGAAGCCGAAGAATCCTCCAGTTGAGGGTGGTATTGTCCGTGAGTCCAGTCCCCGTGATTGTGTGTGAAAGTCCAAGGCGGAGAGTGGATCAAGTTCAAATTACCATAAAATATGCAGAGACAACGCATGCGCAACACGTAACCCGAGCGGATAGATGGCCAGATGCAGATACAGATATACAATGTAGCAGGGCGATACATGCAGATACAGATACGAGTATACAGCAGAGTCCAGTGCTCGGCCCTGTCCACAGGGTTACCCGTTCACCTTGGAGGGCTGTCGTTGAACAGGCCGTTTAGCTTGGCGATTTCGGGGCACATAAAAGTTGCAGTGACAAAGGAATCCATCATCTATAGCTCCCAAATGGGCGGAGGGGGCCACTATACTCGTATCTGAATAAAAACAACATTTGAGTGGCCTTTGAACGAATTTCATGCTTGCTGAAGCGTCACCTCGTACTATATGCACTATATACGATATCGGTGCCCTCCAGGCGGATGTTTCGACAAAACTTCTGTTTGTGCGAGCGGCCTTTTCAGGCCACTAATTGAATTATGTTGCACATTTTGGCAGGCTGGCTGGCAGGCAGGCAGGCTGGCAGAATAGGCTTCATGCTTGATGAGATTGCTTTTACGAGTTGTTCTGTGCAAGAGTCGGATATTTGGCAATTGAGTTATTGCCGCTTGCCGTTTAGATTTGGTTTTGATTTTGCATTAGCTTTTGATTTGCCACTGTCTCTGTCTCTGCCTCTGCCCTGCCGCTACCCTACCTGTGGTTTCCCAATGGAAAGTTGGGCAAACTCTGTTGAATTTCGACCAAGTTCTGTTCGCGGGCACACAGCCAAACGGGTTGGTTAACTGATTTAGCCTGGCTCGAATCGCTTTGTCACGTTTTCGATATGCGCCAAAACGAGTTCAAAGAGAAGTTTGGCAAAAGTTCTGCACCTGTATGTAAAAGACAGAAGTTTCCATCGTTTACAACTTTTTTAATCTGCGAATGTTTTACGTTTGTTATAGGCCTTTGAGTGCCTTTTAATACCTTCTACCTCTGCCATCACAGCCGCTTTTGATGGAACCTGTGGTAAACCAATTACTCAATCGCCAATTGCCAGATGCCTCACCTCCCCACCCTTAAGGGACCCAAGCAGTCGAAATCTGTGTGTGGGGGGAGGTAACTTTAAAGCAGGAATACAGCCAATGCTCTACAAATTTACAAACAGAATTCGCTGAAAGAACGCTGGGATAGGGGCTAATCAGGAAATCATTATAGATACAAATGTATTCCCAATGATTTGTAGACTTGGACAAAGGTACATATAATCAATGTTTGAGCATTCCTTTGCTAAATATGAACCGTAAAGGGATCTACGAGTACTCATATTTTTATGTTTATCTCTCACATTGGTTCCTTTTGTAAGTATACAAATACATATATTGTTTATTGCTTATACCATATCAGGTTTTCTTGTACAAACATTTGTTTGTTTTCTTTAAAATATTTTCAGTTTTATATTGCCAGTTTTAAACCAGTTTAAACAATACATAAACAGATTATGCGAGTATTTTGCAAGTCTAATCAAAAGATAATCAGATATTTGCAGTCACGTAATGCTTTTATAATTTATCCACTCTACCATAACAGATTTCAGACATAAATAATTATACATTTTCAGATTTTAGATGGTAGAACACCGAATAAAAGTGAGTCTGCAGATCTCCGTCTAGAAGTCGGGCTCTGTACCCTCATTCCCCCATTCCCCCATTTAGAGCGATATCAATTACAAGATTTGCGGTGCTCTCGCTCTCGCTCTCTCCTTCTCCCTCTCTTCTTTTCAATAAACAATACTGCATGCTTTATTGGTTTTCCTGATAAACTTGTTCGGCTGCGCTCTCCACAGAACGGACAACCTGTCCAAAGCTCTCACAGAAGTCAGACGGAGAGAGCGAGAGGTGTGCAGAGGGGGCGAGGGGAGAGAGACCGCTCAGCGTGTTTTCAAGATCAAAAAGCGAATGGATGTAAAGAAATTGCACAAAAATGTACAGCAAAAAAACAAGAAAGAGAAAGAACGCTGGAGTGGTAGGGTAGGTGTAACTGCTGTGTGAGAGGTAGCGGGAGAGAATTGCAAAGTATGACTCGAACCTTTCACTGCAGAAGAGAGTTAGGTTACGGAGGGGTGGGAGAGGGAGGTGAGCGATAAACATGAAGAAGAAGTGCCGCGCAATTGAAAAGTGGCACAGATGCCAGGGCAGCCAGCCAGCAGTCTCAAAGCAACGGTAACCAAAAAAGGAGAAGGTGCCAAAGGAGAGCGAGTGGTAAAAAGGGAACACAGCATAACAGAACAGAACAAGACAGGAGCGGAGTTGGGGTGGGCCTGAGCATGGGTGGAGTGGGTAGTGGGTGGTGGGCGGGGGGGCTTCAGCAGCATCAACAATCAGAAAGTATAGGAGGTGGAGTAGAAGCCAAACGACGCAAAAAGCGTGTGCGTATCAACAAAAGAGAATGAACGGGGGTTGAGGCTGGGCCTGGGCCTGGACCTGGCCTAAGGGCGTGGGTGACCTGGGTGTTGTGTGGGGGTTGATGGGTGGGAACAGTAGCAATCACCCTGCCCCGTTGCTCTTTCTTTTACATTCATTTTTATTTTGACAAATGCGCCCTCGTAAAAGAGGAGCCAAAACTTACCTGGAAAATTTATTGGCACGCTTTGTGGAGCGAGCTGTTTAATAATTTAGCGGGCACCGAAAAAGGCGATGGCGATGTATCAAACTGCAACGATTTCGGAATATTTTAGAGATATTTTACTTTTTTTAGCACTTTTTATAATGGTTCACAATTAATTTGTTTGCATTTAATGAAACGGGTGCCAGTGCACCCCAGCTGTTTTGATTGAGCGCGCGCAAAAAATTATACACAAAATCAGTAGCACAGGAACACACACAGAGAAAGAGAGAGAAACACACAGAGTCACACAGAGACGCACTGATGGCCTGGACCTGGGCTTAAGCTTGGGCGCGGCGAGAGGAGACGCGCGATGAGCAGAGCCGTACCGTAGGGCGTGTGTTGGTGTGTGTGTTGAGGCTCCAATGGTTCCAGGCACGAGAAGTGCAAACTGCGACGACGCTCGTTTCAGGCCTCCTCCAGCTTATGGTAGATCCAAAACTCCGAATCGACTCGATTCGACTCAACGTTCAGTAACCGCGGCTTGCGACTTTCGGGTTGGAGGCTTGCTTAAACACTGACACCACAAAGTTGGAGCTTGGGAGCACCAGACGAATCGAACACTCACACCAAACGAAAGCACACCAGCCAACGCACTCGTGTACGTACGATGCTCAACGGAGAGGGGAAAATGTTTTGCAACGGTGATTCTGAGGAACGTATGAGATGCTGAAACAGAAAATGAAGCTTGCCTCTCTCGCGCGCTGCTCAGGTCGCTCAAAGTTGAGTGAGATTAGTATGGGAAAGATCCCATACCAACTCAAAGCTTCTGACAACTCAGCCGGGTGAGAACTTTCGTGGGGGGTTAGAGGCAATGCTGCCAGACTAGTGGGTAACGGTTGCAGAAGCTTAAAACGTTAAAAGCTTAAAAGCTCGCACTGATGGAAAAAGGTGAAGTTTGAATTTGAATCGTGTTGCAAACACTCCAACAAACAGTAAGTTGATGTGGAAAGTTATCAGAAGCAAACCAAGCCATGAGCTTTTGCTCATGTCAAGCTCTGAGAGATTGCTACAATTGTATCCAACTCAAATTGGGGGGTAATTTGGAAAATGCCTGTATTCGTACCCGGCTATCATTTGCACGCCCAAACGGAAAGAGAATGAGTTACATGGATGATTGCTTTGCCGGGGCCCCGCAAGACTTTCTCATCTGCATCACGGTGCACAAGGCAGCCAAAGTGGGCCTGGCCACGTCGGACCTGTACGTGAAAGTGAGCCTGGATAAAACGAAGAAGACCACAAAGACGTTCCAAAACTCCGAGAATCCCTTCTTCAATGAGGTGAGCGGCTGTGAGGCTGTGCCTGTTGCAGGACCTCTACGGAACGTTCCATCCACAGTACTTTGTGTTCGAGTTCCGCTGCCCGCTCACCGATCTGCTCCGGATGACCATCCTCTTTGAGCTGAAGAAGACCCAGACGCTCGTGAAGAACGTGGTGGTGGGGGAGCTGCTGATCGATCTGCACAGCGTGTGGAACCAGCCGAATCACGGCTTCTTCAAGAAGTGGGGCCGCCTGGAGCCGCCCATCGGAGAGCATCCACCGCGCGAGGAAGCCAGCGATTCGCACGGGTATTTGCAGCTGGACTTGGTCATCGTCTCGCAGCACAGCTCGCTGGTGAACAGCCTCAGCGCCGAGGAGCCGGACACCCAGAGTCTGAACAAGTGGACAGTGGACCAGGACTATGACGACATTGAGAAGTATCTGTCCCATCAGTGCCAGTAGCCCCCATCTAGCCCCTCTAACCAACCCAGAGCTCGCCCCCAGGAACCTGCTGCAGAACCCGAACTCCAGCACGCCGAGCAACATCCGCTACTCCATCGCCTTCTACCGGGGCTTCTTCGTGCGGAAGGGCAGCTACATGATCCAAGTATTGTTCACTTTTCACTTCTCACTTCGCACCTCAGTGCAACGCACCAGCAGCCGGGTGGCACTTCTGACTTGTCTCTTTGTTCCTCCGTTTCTAAAGTACAGATTCCATCCGTTCAAGGGCAAGACGCCGGTGGCCAAGCAGACCACGACGCCCGTGTGGAACCACGAGATCAGCTTCGCCTGGATGTACCCCTCGCTGGCGCAGCGCTTCCTCATCCTGGTCCTCGTCCACGAGCACCTCAAGTGGAAGTGCGTGGCCGAGTATGAGCTGTCCTTCGAGGAGATCGCTTTCAAGGGTGCGTGTCCCCTCGAAGGTATCTGCCCCACTGCTTCACCATCTCCAATCCCACAATCTCTGGCAGGCACCCCCTCCCTGGGGCCCACCTATCTGCAGCTGTACGATCCCGCCGATCCCATGACCTATGTGGGTCGCCTCCTGCTGGAGGTGCGCTCCGAGGCTGTGGCGGAGGAGAGGCCTTCCCATGTGATCCTCTGCGAGGACATTCACGGGCTGGACGAGTCTCCTTTCTGGAGGGAAGACGTCTTCATGGTGGAGTTCCTGCCCCTGCTCGGGGACCACGTCCTGACCGGCGCCAGCAGCTATAAAATCTCAATGAAGCTGGCCGAGAACACTTCCACGGTGCTGGAGGGTCCCCTGCAAACGCCAGCGGGCAAGTTCCGCTCGGCGATGCACTCGAAGAGCTTCCGCCAGGACGCCCCCTACCGGTCGTGCCTGCTCCGCGCCCGCCTGCCCGACAATCGGGATAAGTACGAGAGCGACTACTTCATGATCGATCTGATTGGCTTTATGGTGAGCGGCAGCCTTCCCTCTGCAGGTGTGACCTCTGAGCCCTCTTCTGCAGCGCTCCGAACTGGACACTTTCAAGGTGTTTCAGCTGAAGTCGCCGCAGCAGGACGTTGATCAGGCCAAGTGCCTGAAGGCCATCATATCGAGCATCCTGACCAAAATCAAGGAGGGCATCAGGGAGCATCGCTTCGACCACGAGATGGAGAGCCAGCGGACGCCGTGGGACATCAATCGCCAGCTCTTCCTGGTGGCATTCTTCGCCAAGCTGCCGCACGAGCTGCGTCTGCTCAAGCAGGAGCTGCGCAGCTGCTTTGTGGAGAACCTGGACGCCTCTGTGGCGGATGTGGTGAACGAGCTGCATCGCCTGGTGGACAGGATCACGGCGCTGTCCAACATGACGCGGGTGCAGGACGAGTGGCCCGACCTGCTGCTCCACCTGAGTGCCGGCGGCAAGGAGGTGGGCGTGTGCCGCCTCAATGCCAAGCTCTTCCTCAGCCTGCAGCGGCGGCAGCTGCAGCTGCAGCTGCAGCAGAACCAGATCACCCAGTGCTGGCGCCTGAAGAGCTTCGCCTTCAAGGCGCCCGGCTGCACCCACAGCTGCCCCAACTGCGGCTGCAGCACGGCCATGGTCCTCGGCTGCATCGCCATCGTGGTCGAGCGGGAGCGCAAGCAATTCGTCTCGCACATCATCGGGGACTGGGTCTCGATCGAGCCGATGGTGTGGAAGACGCGCGTGGCGTGGACCTTCTTCCGCTGCCACGTGTACGTCCACCAGGCCAAGGTGCGTCCCAGCGGGGAGAAGAAGCACGTTGCCGACTCCCATCTGCGGATCCTGTTCGGAGAGCAGGCCGCCGAGACGCACACCTCCCCCGGCACCATGTCGCCCATCTGGGATGCCGAGATCACCTTCAAGTGCATCACCCTGCCCGGCAGCGTCGACTGGTACGTGCAGCATCCCCCCCTGCTCTCCCTGGAGTTCCACTACAAGGAGAGATCGCTCGCCGACGAGCTCGTGGGCAAGGGCCATCTGCTGGCCAGTGTGATCAGCGGCGAGCATTTCGCAGACTCTGCCTGGCAGGAGGGCGCCCTCTGCTGGTCCAAGGGCCCCGTCTACAAGATGCAGCGGCTGAAGCACGTCTCTCCTCCGCCCCTCAAGTGGGTGCCGCTGGCCCGGAAGGGCGCCGTCCAGGCGGAGGTCCTCATGTCGGCCGAGTTCATCGAGCTGGCGGATGGCGTTGCCGACGCCAGCAAGGAGCCCCTCCTCACCATGGGCATTCCAGAGGCCATCCGGCCGCATATGCGGAACTTCGCGTGAGTATTGGCCTGGCTTAGCCTGGCTTAGCTTGGCGTGGCCCTTCCATCGGTAAAGGATTTCCCTCGCAGTCTGGAGGTGATTTTCGTGGGTCTGCGCAACTACTGCAAGAGCACGATGAGTTCCGCGGGCAAGCGGAAGATCAAGATCATGATGGGGGACCTGGTGCTCGCGAGTGGCCCTTCGACCGCCCGCATTGGCAACAGCATCAACTTCCTGGTGGCCTACGCCTCGGCCGTCGTGGTGGGTCAGCGCCTGGAGATGACTTTCAGACACAATCTCTGATTCCCCCGTCGTTCCCGTCGTTACAGAGTCTGCCCGATCAGCAGGAGTACTGGCCAGCCATGATAGCCGCCGATGTGCTCCTCTCCGGCCCAACTACAGAGTCCATCCTGGGGGCCGCACTCATTCCGAACTCCGCCAGCTTCCTGCAGCGGGGCAAGACGACCAAGTGCGGCACCCAGAGCTCTGTGGCGGCGTCCAACACCACCACCGCAGTCACAGTGGATGGGGATGATGACGAGGCGGAGACGGAGGCAGAGACGGGAGTGGAGGAGACAGAAGTGGAGGACAGCGATGAGGAGGAGGAGGAGGAGGAATTCCCCGTCAAGTTGAGGCACTTATGGAGGCGTCTGATGTTCGCCCTGGGCCTGCGACCCGCTGCCTACGCCAACAGGCTGGCCCTCAGGTACGAGTCCGACGAAGGGGACCACGGCGACCCCCTCGCGGAGGGACAGTTCACGTGGTGGACAAAGTTCTACAACTCGATGTACTGGAAGGCGGCGGAAATGACGCACGAGTACAAGCACCGGCTGGTCATCTTTCCCAACGAGCTGGAGAAGCAGCCGCAGTTCGGCTACCTGCAGGACTGGGCCGTGCCCGTCCAGATGGTGCACGGAGTCAAGTTCAAGAAGCAGGCCCCGCCCAAGGAAGACGTCTACGCGACGCTGAAGATCCAGGTCAAGCTGACGCCCTACCAGTGCGGCGCCTGGGACGAAGGCGGAGGCGGGGACATGCTCCGGCCCCTGGCAGGTGCCACGAGTCCGCGCCAACAGACGATGCTCCAGTCGCTGGCCGAACCGGTGCGGCTGGCGGTCCGGGTGTATGTGGTGCAGGGTCTGCAGATGCGCCCGCGGGACGTGCGGGACAGTTCCGACTGCTACGTGAAGCTCTTGCTGGGCGGCAAGACGGTCTCCGATCGGGCGGCGTACATCCCCAACCAGAGCAACCCCATCTTTGGGCGCATCTTCGAGCTGGAGGCCACCCTGCCCGGCGACAACATGCTCCTGCTGATGGTGTACGACCAGGACAAGTGCCGCGACGATCTCATCGGCCAGACGTACATCGATCTGGAGGATCGCTGGCGCAGCAAGCACCGCGCCACGGTGGGCCTGGCCCAGGAGTACTCGCGGGCCGGCTACAACCAGTGGCACGACGTCAGCCCGCCCTCGGAGATACTCAAGGATCTGTGCCAGCAGCAGGGCATTCAGCCGCCCTACTTCTACGGCCACGTGGTCGAGGTGGATGGGCTGCTCTTTGGCGACGAGACAGCCATATCGAGGGGTGCGTGCGCGACCCCACAAATAGGTAAAATATCTGTACTGATGGATTGATTCGGTTGCTCGTTTCAGGTGAGGAGTTGCACGAGCGCCTCAGCCTGACAGTGCTGAAAAACATCGAGAAGCTGCCCTCCTTTGGCCACAAGCTGGTGCCCGAGCACGTGGAGACTCGCTCCCTCTACCGCGATGACTATCCCAATGTCGAGCAGGTACGAAGTAGAGCAGGTTCGAACCCATATCTGGAAAGCCTCCTTTTCCATTCAGGGCAAACTGCAGCTGTGGATCGAGCTGTTCGAGGCCAACACATACATTCCCTTCCCAGTGGATATCACGCCCGTGCCACCCGCTGGTTACGAGATTCGTGTTGTGGTCAAAAGTCTGAGAGGCATCCAGGCTGGCGACAGAAATGTTTTCGGCAAACTAATGAGCGACCTCTTCGTGACTGGGTGAGTGGGCAAGAGGGGAGCCAGCAATGGGGGCTCCTGTGGCTGGCCCATGTAAACGATATGCAATTACCCGATTTTCTGCGCTGTGTGCTTTCTGTTGCAGCTGGTGCCAGGATATAGACAAGCGCCAATCAACCGATATCCATTACCGTTCATTTACCGGCGATGCTGCCTTTAATTGGCGCATGATATTCCCCATGATGTACTCCCCCAATGAGGATATGGTGAGCACGCAGGGAGGGGCACCGTCTTGACCTTGCCTAATTGGTAGCAGGTCGCAGGTTGCAGGTCGCAGGTGTAAGCCAATATCCTCCACTAATTAATGCCGCGTGCGCGCGCGCATGCCTCTCCCTCCTTCCACCTCCCCCAGATGGTCTTCCGCCGCCGAGGGGGACTGTTCGAGGAGATTGAGATCAAGCGACCTCCGGTTATCTATCTGCAGATCTGGGACAGAGACGTGATAACCCGCAACGAGTACCTGGGCGCCCTGGAGCTCAACCTCTCCAACATGCCCATGCCGTACGAGACGGAGGGGCAGTGCAGGGCCTACGCCAAGCAGCGCAAGCGACTGAATCTCTTCCAGCGCAGGTCCGTCCACGGCTGGTTCCCAGTGGAGAGTGCCCCGCAGCCACGGTTCGGTCTGCCCGTCACCTCGACGAAGGTGAGTCGCGGAATGGGAGTCTCGCGTAGAGCCCAGCTCACCAATACGAACCCTTGCAGGGCAAAATTGAGCTCCAAATCGATGTCTGCACGTCGGTGGAGGCCTCGAACCAGCCCGCTGGCCATGGCCATGACCCGCCCATGGCATTGGAGAAGCCCAAGTACGTATCCCGGGCCCACTGATCGTCCGATCCGATATATATAGCCCATGCACTTACGTCTTGCAGTCGGCCGAGCACAGCCTTCAATCCGCTGACGCATCCCTTCAAGTCGTTCCACTACATCCTCTGGCCCTCCCTTCGGAAGTACGTGCTGTGGGGTGTCCTCGTTGCGGCAGTTATCCTGGGACTGGTTCTATACTTTTCCGAACTTCCAGGCAAACTCATGTCCATTCCCGTTCTGTGATTTGTTATCAGTTTTCGTTTTCGTTTCTTGTTTAATTTTTTGTTTTTTCTTTGCTTACTTTTCCCTCAATCGGCTAAATTTAATTTCCTTGTGTTTGCCCACTTTAAAGTCTTCCAATAAATTAGTTTATTGTTGCACGTATTTCCATGCGTCACTTGGAAATTAATTAAATGAAATCGCTAAGAGCCGTATGGGACATCGGGACACCGATGCAGGAGGCAGCGATAAAAGCGGTCGGTCGGCAATGGTTGGCCATTCCCATGGCAGACCCACCACTTAAAAGAGCTAATAATAAACTGTGCAGCCAACCAACTGGACACGGATCAGAAGGATGATGATTGCAGTCAGCCCCCAGAAGAGCTCGCTCAGAGATCAGACTGGAAGCCAAGCGGAGACGCTCTATCTATAGAATGGTACAATCCGAATGCTCTGCTCTGCTCTCCAGAGGCAGCCGTTTAGCCAATCGATCTACTGAACGGGCGAAAACCCATTAAAGTGTGCGGAATGATTCCACTTCTGCTGCGCTATTTCATCATGTGGTATTTATTTACACATTTATACATTCATATGTGATATCTACGAGTCTGGTCTGGATGTTTCGAAGCATGTTAATGGCGACACTCGACTCGACTCGTCCCGGGACGAGACGAGGCGAGTGGCGAAGTGACGAAAGGCTGTTATCAGGCCCGCCCCGAGCCAGTCCAAGCCGTACACATTACAACGGACACATTACAGGCACTGGCCCAAAGGCTGCCATTGCCAGTGCCAGTTTAGTTGGAGACGAGCTATCAGGGCTGTCGGTACGCGCGAATCACTCAGCAGAAAATTGCCAAGCGAAAGTTGCAGCAGAGACAGAGACAGAGTCCCAGTCCAGTCGAGTCCTGCTAATTATTATCAGTCAAAGGTGCTAATTGAGTTTTATAATTAAAGCGTCTGTCCATCATAATCAGAGACAGAGCTGCAGTCGCAGTCGCAGTCGCAGGGAGTCGAGTCCTTGCTGGTGCTGCCGTGCCTTGGCCTGCACTTGTAGTGCTGCTCGCCCCAGAGCGGATCGCAAGTGAAACATATGGCAAGCATCGGGGCACTCAGCCTTAAATGCTGCTAAATTCTGATAGAATATTCTCGGAATATACGAGTACCAGCTGCTGCTGCTGCCACAGACGAGCGTGTTCGGTGTGCTCCGGCCTAGTCTTGGCTGAGATCAAAATCAAATTCAAGTTTTTCAAGTTCAAAGTCGATTGAAGATGTAAAGGGAAAAGCTTGTTAGACAGAATCTGAACTAAAAGAGTTTCCAAAAGAGTTTTCCAGAGGTGAGTCTCACATTTAATTAATGCATTTATTTACACAATACTCGTACTGGGCGTATGGGCGTATGGGCGTGATATTTACCCACGAAACGAGCAACCACTCAGACTAATCGACGCACAGCGTTTCCAATTTCGTCAACTCATCCTTTGCCCCCCCCTGGAAACAATCAGAGCCCCATTGGAACTCCTTTGGGGGGCATTGACGGGGTGAAATTCATTAGTCGGAGTATGAAATGCGAAATCGAGGCCCAAATCGCGATGCGATGTCAGCATATCGATGGCTATCTCTATAAAGTAATTGCGGATCCACGTAGAAAAGTCTGCCTCCAGGCTTGGCATAGTTCCAGTTCGTAACTATCCCTCGGTCGAGTTGGTTCCACAATGAAGCTGCAGGACGTCGAGTAAGTTGGGGACTACAAGTTGCCTTCAAGGGGCTTTGGCTGGGGCTTGAGCTTGGGCTGGGGCCAGCTTGGCATTATGCAAATTCGTCTGGGTCGAGTGCCACAAATAAACAGCCCGTTAATTAGACACTGCCATTAAATGGGGCGTTCGGCATGGACTCCACTCCCCCCAGTCGCACTCCCACTCCCCCGGGAAGGAGCTAACTAGAAAAATGACAAACGGCCGTCCGTTGACACGACTCCATGTATCTCCCAGTTACGGACCAGCAGATACACTCGTATGAGAATTATTGCTGTTGCCGTTGGGGGTTTGCTGTTCACAGTTGGACACAGTTCAGCTGCAGTCACGGTTCGGTTGTAGCTCGACAAAGTCCACAGCCACAGTACGAACTCCTTTATCTCTGGCTGTCCCACTGTCCCACTGTCGGCAGTTCTGTCCTTCTATCGGGAGCGTGTCATGTGACAGGCGGGTTATCTAAATTGGTTTACTGTGCAAATCAATATCTAATTAGAGAACTGATTGCGGATGAGAGCCGCTGCCTGATTTTTCGCGTTTTCGTTTTTCGTTTTTCATTGTGAAATATTGCGACTAATCGCCAACATTATGTACAGTCGCGAGTCGCGACCCTTTACCATCACAACAGCAGCAGCACCCGCAGCAGCACCAGAAGCCACCGAGCGCCAGTCGAGCTGCCCGGCCATGCCCAAGCTCTGGAATGCTGGTGGGGTCTACAATGGCCAGTGCCCTGCCATGTCGTCGCCGGATCTGATGGAGGCCCAGCCCACACTTTTGCCCAAGACGCGCAGCAACAGCAGCACCAGCACCACAACCAAGAATCGCAACAGCAAGGTGAGTCAGTGTCAGAGTCAGAGTCAGAGTCAGGAATGAGGTAACTGGGGAATACGCATTTCCCCTAATGTGGAGCAAAAGATTTGACGAGTTCCAGAATGTTCTTCCTGACTTTGAATAGTTTTCAGCATTCACTTTTAACTCCCAAAGTTCATTGAAGAAATTGAGGAAAATTGGCTAATTGATTGATTGATAAATATGTGAATAAATATAAATATAAAATAAATATAAATAAATATAAATAAAGCGTATAGAATCAAAGTAAAGGAGGATCCACTACTGCAAATATCCTTCTATAATTCGAATTATATAATTCTTTGCAGTATTGGATATTCTCAATGATAATCGAGCGAAGTTCGGCCGCCAAGCGGGGCGAAATCGACGGCGATGATGCAGACACCCCATTGGAGGCCATTTTGCCAGTCGAACCGGCGGCGGAGCAGGTCTGCTTGTTGCGTGACAGCCCCTTTAGGATATTGCGGGTGAGTTGGTAATCGGGAGATGGATGTGGATATGGATATGGATATGGGTACGGGTGGTGGCCGCCTCGTGGCCTCGTGGTCTGGCCAATTCTCCAAAGTGACGACCCAACGGCAATTCTCCAGGCGAGAGTTGTGATAAATGCATATCGATTCCGCGATTGCAGCTGAGAAATGAGTTCTGTTTTTTGTTTGTCGTTCGCGAAACGGCTTTCTAGAAAGTTCAATGGCTTCTTGGATCCGCCTCCCCTCCGCTCCGCTCCGCTCCTCATCCACCGAATACCCAACTCCTTAGCGCTGATAGATGGGCAGACATAAGAAAATAAACATCGGCTCGGCGGGACATGCAAAGCAACAAGTTCGGTGGACAATACAGTGTGGAACAAAATCGACACGCAATTGAAATGGAAGCAGAGCACCCACAGATTTACGGTCAAAACTCACCACGCGGCGAGCACGGCGTAAATTCTGCCCTCCGGCAGAGTGCGTGCTCTCCTCTCCTCTCCCCACCCAACGCACCCGAAGCCCACTCGCCCCCACGTGCTGACTGCTGACTGCTGGCTGTTGGCTATAAAAGCGAGCACCTCTTGGCCCGAGATTTCAGTCTTGTGGCAACTTGGCCGACAGCCTCTCCTCTCTCTCTCAGTGTGCAAAACGGAAAATGATGTTAACTTGGTCTGAAAATCAGTGGAAAATCAAAGGCAATTTGTTCAATTGGGTCCGCGTAACCCAATCAAAATAAAAAGCCCCAAAGCATGTTGTTTTACAGTGACTACAACAAGTATTCGTATGCCGATAAATATTTATGAAAACTTACCGAATCAAACACAAATTAAAGTCCCAAACTGCAAGGAAAATTTTAAATTTTAAATCACATATTTTGCATGCTCAAATACGCAGAAACTACGCGGGAGAAATATGTATTTGGATATATAATTTGAACAGTAAATAAATACAACCATTTATAAGTGTGATGTGCATATACCCAAATAAATATCTGCAACAACTTAATTGAACATGAAAATACTCGAAACTCCCATCCTCAAATGATTCCTTTTGGATGTGAGACCCAACTAATATATTGGGAATATAAACAAATCGTAAATCATAGCTAAATCCAGGGAGGAGTACAAACAAAACTCGTTTCACGCAGAAATGCTGTGGAGTTCGGATACTTAAAGAAAAAGAAAAGCATATATCATTTTATTTGGGATTCCATTTAAATTGATACCAAAGCTGGAAATATTTCTAGCGCTCTGCCTAGCTACCAGTCAAAGATTGGGACGAGAGCCGAGAAGCCTGTAAACTTCGTTGCCAGCGCATATTAAAAAAAAAAGTAGCGACAGAAAGTGAAAGGCAAGGCCCATAGAGAAGGAACAGCGAAGGCGCTTTAGGGACCTCCACAGCATTGTGGAGATGAATGCCACAGGCAATCAGAGCTAATCTGAAAACTACACACAAATGTAATTAGGATTCGCATTTTCGCATTCGCCGCACCAACAACAACAACAACGACAGGAACTGGAACTGGAACAAGAACAGGAACAGCAACAGCCACCGCCATTGACAATGACAACCAGCGAGAGAGAGTGGGAGAGGGAGAGGGAGAAGGAGACCCCGAAGCGGGAGGTGGTCATCAGTCCGCTCCGCTACTTGATCAGCGGCTGTGCCCGCGGGGCGGAGCTCACTGCAATGGGCCCACTCAACCTGCCCAACAAGTGGGCCCGCATACTGCGAATGTCCTCCGCACCAAAGATACAAATCGAAGATTTTCTCCAGGTAAAACTGCTCCACGGAAGCACACACAAACACACATCAAATTAGCTAAATGGAAGCCCCGAAATTAGATTTACTTTTTAAGTGCAGTTCGGTGGAAGTTGCTAGAAAACTGACTGAAATGGGGAGACATGGGGTTGGGTTTGGGCTTGGGTTCTGGTAGGTTACTGCTGCAGTGACAGTTGCTATTCTGCGTAATAGTTTTGAGCTTAAAGAAAACTTTTCGTGAAGGGAAAATGTCTTGAAGTGGATGGAAGCAAAACAAAAGACTGATGGAGCAGGCACTGAAGACACTGCAAGTATGACGGAAACGAAAGACA